TAATCGTAAGAAACCAAATACACACATGAATAGACGAACAAGCTGCACTGCTGTGCACTGCTGTGCTAGTATGTGTTTGGAAGTAGAACTGTGTTGAGTACTGAGAAATACATGGGTATTGTTGGCTTTGCTGTCATATTCCCGCAACCACATGACGAGAACTCATCTGTGATCTGACTTGTGTTCATAGGCAATGGATGAGAATTGTTCGAATCTGGCGGAGTTGGAAACTCCATTCATCACAATGCAAGGGTATGTTGAAAATACATTTTCCTACCGTTGCATTCTCAGATATATTCAAAGGGCATGCTGTACTGTTATCCTGGTGTTCAACTTGTGGAGGTGACATAGGTTGCATCTTTAACCTACTTCAAAGCTAAGGCGAGTTGTCGTCATATGAAACATCTTGTATCTGTATAGTTTGATATCAGTACTCGTAGAATGATCTTATGAGTAGGTGCATCTCAACACGGAAGTGTGTTCTATGCATAACGTTGCCGAATACGCAAATAGATGAGTTGCAGTTGTTGTACACCGAGGACGTATTTTTCAGATCATTGACGCTTTCTATGTACACGAGTTTAAAGTTGGGTTAAACCCTAAGATACCGTGGGAAGGAAGGTAACAGTGTAAAGTGAACACTTCGCCCTGTATGCGAGAGAGAATCTTCCAGTCGAAGTAGCCATTTTTTTCTTCAAAATAACCAAATTGACTATGATTCACATCGGATATCATAAACGAGCAGTACTATCAAGAAAGTACGTGTTTGTAGTACATTGTGCGGATTGCTCTTTCTAAAATTATCACCTAATGTCGCAAAATATTTCAACCTCACCCTCTAATAGGAACGAGAATGACGTCGTTTTGTCGGACAACGCCATGTTCATATATCAAAACGCCAAGTCAGTCGACAAGCAATTACAGTACATCGATGGCGGCAGACACGATCTCCATGCATGTAGTCAGCTTATCCGACAACACGTTATGAATGTATGTTTTGTTGTCCACGCGTCGTCATGTGAATATTGCTGACTTGTTGCATGTCAGAATACCGTCCTTCAACAGAATAAGAGCATGGTTAGAGCATATCCGAATCACCAAACCGGCTTATTTCCTACGTTTCTATACGCATATGTTATGTTCTTATCTGGCCACACGATGTCAGTCATCACCTCGTTTTCATTCGATATTGTAATCTCCCAGATATGCATACAGTCACGGTGGGAATAGGTTCATAACTTTTACTGCGATGTCTTCAAGCGGTACTCCATACTTTGTATACTGCTCTAGTTCACAATGCGTGAAAACATCTTTCACACCACTTCATGGCTATCTACAGGCTAGAAGTTATCACCTCGTATGACCACGACGAGGTGTGAAGTTATATATCGCGAGTATTTCTATTGCACGCTTCCTTGAATGATATCACTATTGGTAGTTGCATTTTCTATATCAGTGTGTCTCCACCGGCTTTTTTTTTAAGTGAAGTGAAGCTTAGACATATTTATCGTTATGATTTCAACACGTGTATTGATTCGCAGTTCCTACTATCTGCATCGTGCAGACTCTGTACAGCTGGGTTGCTGAAAGGTCCGGCGAATCGGCAGAGGAAGTACATCATCGGTTGGCTGCGGTAAGCAGTTTCCGCTTAGGAACTCCCGTAGGCCTATCCACCTCAGCAGGCGTCAAGAGTGCCGCCTGCAACGAAACCAACGCAAACAGTGCGAGTGGTCTGGAGGATGTGATTGAGAGCGATAGTGCAAGCATTGGACATGAAGACTTGACGCGCTCTCTCGAGATCAAGTCAGGGTCGGAGGGCACAACGGTAGAAAGCGCTGACCACCCACGTGGACTTTTAAGCGAGACGGAAGGGGATGGAGATGCCCAGGCAGCCATTGAAGGGGATGCAGTGGACGCTGGTGTAATGTTATCAGGACTTGAGGAGAGAAGGGCTTTGGAAGGCGACACAGCTCCACTTCAGAATGCTCCAGTTCTGCCAACAGACGAAAGGAGTTTGTCCGAATCAGATGAGGTACTCATAGGTGATGGTGAGAAATCTTTGTGTGCTGGCAATGATGACGAGGCCTCGCCCGCAAAAATAAGGATGCATAAACAGATGAGTCAGCCTTTGAGTAAGCAGTATCTAAACAACTGCAGCAGCGCAGCGACGGAGGGTGATGATATAATCGGCGATTCGGGCAGAAGGCGGAGCAACAGTCGCAGACACAGTTGCGCCGACTTCTCGGACACGACTACTATGGTGTCTATCAACTTCGATGTGAACGACTGGTTTAGTGAGAATGCTGACGCCGAGGCCGCGAGGGAAAATGGTGCGGGCAAAACAAAGAAGGCCAATGTGCTGCGGCACGCTTCAACGCAAGGGGACGCCCAGGTGGGAACCGGACGGCGAAAACATGCCAGTTTCGGTGTAAGGATGTCAGATGCAGCAAATCTGGGCATGAGCAAAGACGGTGTCGTTCTGGTATTTGCAGATGAGAGTGGAATCCGATACAGTCGAGACACAACTGTGGAAAATACAGTGGCAGAAGCTCAGCAAATATATAAACACAGCGACGATGCTGAGCATGAATTAGCTGCTAACAGTGGTTCTGGTACGTAGGGTACGTTTGAGAATGTTAAAGGTCTCCATCCGTGCCTCTGATGGTGGAAATGCTGCGTGAGTGTAGTAATTCTGCAGTGTGCGGTGTAAACGATAGATTAAAACCGATTTTCAACACTGATAACTAAGTGTCTGCGCGACTGCTATCCGCCAGCTTTAGAAATGATCATTTGTGCTTTGGAAATATCAGCACGCACAAGACTATCGTCGCATATGTACACGCTGATCATGTGGTATGGTCGTTGGGTTATTATGGTTTGCCAGAGCTTGTACATATCATTAATATACATGACGGGCAGCATATATACAACGACGCTTGCGAAACATAATTCTGAATATATAAAATGAAATTGTTTTGAATGCTATTGGATGGAGTCGAGAATTACTTTGGATGTAACATGGAATACTGAATCATTTAGATGCAATATATATTACTTGACTGTCCACTTTCATTTTTGGATTATGCCGGGAGCGAGCGAAGCGAGCACTTTTGATTAATTAATGGAGGGGAAAGGAAGAAAAGGGCAGGGCCTTTTAAAAGGCGTAGCCTTCCTTCGTACTGTGCCCTATTTTTATGTTAGAACTATTTTATTATTTTTATAGCAGTCATTGTAGGAGGCTATGTAGTCATATTTAAAATGAATCAATACTTTATTATAGTTTTATAAGTATCCTCCGTCGTTGGTTATTTAAATCCTTTATAGCCGCCTCCCAACCTTGTACTTTATATACAATGACACCAAAATCAAGGAAGCGAAAAGCAGACGGCACGCTTAAAGCTTCTGGTGGAACTCGTCGCGGTGCCGGTAAGCCAAATGCATCGTCTGGATTCAATAAGAATCTATCCTCCGGATAATCAACATTATTCGGCGGTAGGGCTGCTGCCGCATGCGTCGCACAGCATGGCCCAGCTCAAGAAACAGAATCAAACTCAGCAATTGCAACTAATACCAACTCAGCAATTACAGCACAAGAATCATACAAAAGTATCGAGGCAGACAACGTTCTAGTCCATTTCAAAGTATGGAGTATATATATGCATGTATATATACACGTGTATATGTATGTTTGTATATAATGTATGTTTGTATGTATGCATGTATGAATACTATGCATGTATGATGTATA